GCTTTTTGGTTACCTTTTGATGTAACTTTCCCTCCCTGACCCTCTTGATCACCTTTCTAGCTTAGAACCTACGCAAGTCTACTCAGTCTCCACCAGCTCAGGCACTGGTCAGTGTTTCATAAATTCAGATCCTGTCCTTGCAGAGCTTTCCACAGTTCAGACCAATCTGTGCAACTCTATGGTCCTTGATAGATGTTATTTGTCTGTCATGTGCATAAAATTGAGGAATAGAGAGTAATTGAAATAACAGGAAAATGGAATGGGTTATTAATTTGAGCTTTACACTTCCAGTGGTTCATCAGAAGATCTCTGATGGGTGAATTGTATCCTGGGTTATATATGAACAATTGTAGCATTTGGATGTCATCCAAATGAAAAAGGAACTCAAAGAGAAAACCTGAAATCTTAGAAGAAAAAGTAATTTTCTTCAGACCTTGGTTTAAGCTTGCTGCAGTGTTTTGGCCTGGGTGGTTTTGAGATCAGTGAAGGAGAATGTTGATACAGAATTTACTATTCAGAAACACTTTCCTAAAAAACCCCTTATATATTGGAATAATTAATACTATAATCCCACCTAAGATTCCACTGATGTTTATTCTTTGCATCAGTTCTGGAGAAATGGTCCTTTCCTAATGCAATATGAAATTTCTCTTTACTACCATTAGCTATTAGACAGCTGCAGTCTCAGCAGTGCTGTTACTGCCTTTCCTGCTGCATTCTTCCGTCACTTCAGCGCTCACTTGTTTGAGATGTCTTTCCTTTTAACTTTGAACAGTTGCTTCTACATTTAATTTTTGAAGAGTGTAAGAGAAGTGATCTTTTTTAACTAGTACGCAAAGATAATCAGCTTAAACTGCCTTAAAAAGCAGATGAATGCCTCTTTTGAGGGGGAGGATGAAGGAAACTAATATGCCTGCCTATAAAGGGCTCCATGGAAACTAAATTGCCTACCATGAATATACAAGTTAGTGCGGTGACAGATGTTGACAAAACTTTTTTGATGCTTTGGACTCTTATAATTAATTTTATTCTTCACTCATAGAAGCACAGGTAGAATGGAAAATGGGATAAGACAGTTTCAGAATGCTCTTATGTAGGCCACTTCCCATCTGTGTAAGGGAAAGTGAGATATTTGGTATGGCTGTTGACCTCTGCTTACTGTTGTGCATTTGAGTATTGACGTGTACACTTCAGTGGCTTTCCAAGCTGGAAATGATGTAACTTAACCTGGGGAGGTGTATGATAGAAGACATGTGGCAGTATAAACAAGACAGCACCTCCTTGAAGGTCAGCATTCCTTTATGTATGTGATTTAAAACTTTCTAGAAAGTAACCTTGCAATATCCAGCCTCAGGAGCAACTGTATTCAGGGTAGCAATCTCAATGCTGCTCTTATCCCCTCTGTTTTTAGCTCGGCCACAAGCTAACTGCATCACCCCAAGTGGTAGGTAGCTGATAGTAGTACTTTGTTCCTATTCCTTAGCACACTGAGAATAGGGTAAAAATAGTTTTGGGGGAGAGCAAGCTAAAATCCACTAGGAGGAACATCGAGGAGGACAAGAATCTATAGCCAATATGTGAGCTAAAGCTGAGCAGAAAGTGGCCAAAGAAAAAGGTGATGAAATAGTGTGTGATAATATGGTGCAAGAGAAGGTTCAGTGACTGTAAAACTAGGTTATGTGGGGATGGTAATGTTGTGAAGTTAAAAATGCAAACAGGAATAGAGAACTCTTAATCAGAAGCTGCACTTGCATAATATTAAGGTTGTGACATGGTGTGGCATAAGCAATGCAGAAATGCCATATTTTAGCAGAGGGAGGAAAAAATATACCTTCAGAATAGTCAGTTACCAGAAGAAAGTTTGGTTTGGTTTTGTTTGTCTATATATCTAGGAGGATAGCTTTGTGGCTAGAGAAAATTTGGATTTGTTTTTTTCCAAAGCTGCTGTTTTCTTCTGTCATTTCACTTTATACTTACCAAATTATACCTCTGTTTTTGCTAGCTACAGCTTTTCAGCTAAGAAACTGGAATGACAAATTTCCAATCTTCTAATTAAATAAATGTTTACTAGAACTTGTCAAGAATGTTGATGTTTTATTTAAATGTCAAGAAAAACATTGTTACAGACTCCTGCTATAATTTAGATTGGAGGCCATATAGTCCAGCACTGTGCTTAGAGTAGGCTCAACTTTCATGTTGGATTGAGTTGCTCAAGGGCTGGTCCCCTTTGAAGTATCTCCAGGGATGCAGGTACTACCACTTGGAAACTTGTTGCAGTCCTCAACTATTACTCTGAATTTCCCCCCACAATTATAATATTACTTGTATTTGGTTGCTACAGTATGATGGATATATCATTCTAGTACCCTACTTCTCTATAGCATCTTCCAAGAAAAAACAATGGAGACAAGACGTATGTGCTAGTTAGTGTTCAAGTTTCCAAAATAGTCAGCAGAGAAGGATCCTAAGTTCAAAGTAAAAGCTTAGTTTAAGTGTTCTTGTTCACATCACCTGAAGTACCCGAGCCCTATGACAGAATGACTTTTTACATGTTTAAAATTGGGCAATGTTAATATATCCTTCAACACCTGTGCTTAAAAAAATAATCTAAAACAAATGAGCTATGAGAGTGTGACAACCTAAGAACGATGGTGCAAAGCCAGTTTCTTTACTGGACGTGTTTGGCTTTGTAGGATTTACTGAAAGAAATGGTCCTGTTCCCTTTTCCATCTTCTACTCTTTGCTTTCCTGATGGTGCTGAATCTGTTCTTTGTGGATCAAACAGAACTAATGCGAAGGAAACGGTGGGAGCATGTGGGGTGGGGAGGCTGTGTCACCTTCCCCAGGGGCAGCAAACTTAGGGGTACTTAGCTGTATTAATTAAAAAGTTGTATACCAAGACTTGGGGTTGCCCCTCCATTAAGTAGTGTTTTTGAGATAGTGGTAGAATTCGTACGGATGTTTCTTCTCAGCTCTTTTTTTTAACTTTGGCACAAGTTGTTGACTTAGGAAGCGATAACGTTTGAGGTGCTTATCTGTGACTAGCAGCCTTGCAAGAGGAATGCTGATGAGCGTGTCACAAAGTGTTTTCTGAATACTGGCAGGAATAAAGTGGAATTATTAACGCTTATATTGGAACATTTTTCTCCTGTTTTTAACTTCTCTACAAAACTCTTGAGATTCAGTGGCTTCTTCCAAACCTCATTAAATTCAATAAAAAGCTTGTTGCAGATTTTGTGAAGGGTTTTTTTTTTCTTGGACATAAAGCACACAAAGTCAAACTCCTGCTACCCTAAATGTGTATCTTGCCTTTTTAAAAGCAAGGATGTGGCCAGAAAACTGCCTCTGAAGAGTCGTTCTGGAGTTGTACAGTCTAACTTCATAGCTTTTTTTGTTTAATAAGCTTGCAAAGTGTTCCCATCAAAGGTGACTTTGTACAACCAAGCAGCTGTAAAGTTGAACTTGTTGCATGATCAGGCTGGTACCTCTAAGTAAAACTGCTTCCTTTCTGCTTCGTGTGCTGTATTTAATTATCAACCCATAAAGCTATTGGAATTAGTATTTGGCTTGTTGGTTGGGAGATATTTTGAAATAAAGTAAAATAAATGTTGACCTCTGCAGGTAACCAAATGTTGCTTTAAGAAACTATTTTATAAAATTGTAATTCATGATTAGATGAGGCTGTGGTCATTCAGAGAGTGTTTGCTGCTAAAGCAGAGCACCCTTGTGTCACAGGTTTTTTAAATAATAGCTGAATCTAGATATGTATGAGATGCTCCTAAAGTGTGTACACTGTGTGAAATGTCAGATTTTCTTTTTGCTTGATGTGTCTAAGTTTGTACTTTTAAAACTAATTTTAGGACTGACGTAGTAGAAAGAAATATATATCCTTTTTTCTGTACTGAAAGTATTTCTTTTTTTTTTCCTGTCTTAAGCTATAAACTAAAAGACACAAGAAAAGCAAAATAGAGATTTCTTTTTTTAATGGACCAGAATGTGAAAATTATCACTAGTTGTGACACATCAGAGTACAAGCAAAACCTTCTAGCAGCAGGATTGCATGTTTATATAAAGTTAGACTTTCCAGGCACATGCGTATGCAGTATGCTATTGGGATAGCTTCCAAGTTATTGTGAAGAGCAAACCTTCTGGTACACTGGATACAAGGGAGTGGTATTCCATCAGTTTGGCTGCTTGCACGCTTTAGGAATAGTTGGTTTTAGTCTGGAACTTTAATTTTAGGTTTTGGGTATTTTAGTATAGACCTTGATGTCCCACATGACTCGAGCTGTTGGAAGAGTTGTTCAGATGCTGTAGAAGATGGCTGTGAATACCCACTGTAGTCACTGCATAAGAAGGAGGCAAATCAGATATTTTATCCATATAATTATTTGGACAAATGTATATTTGTAAGACAATACATAATTTTTAAGAAATGTGCAGTACTTGGTAAGTCCAAAAGATAGGGCTTGGGAGGAATGGTATCATATGAGCATTGCTTGTTCACCTTGGCTTTTTTGCAGATTTGTCCAAAAGTAATTAGGCAATAACCAGTATTTAGAGGTCTTCATCCGCTTTCTTGGGAGGGCAAAAAAGCTATTTTTAGCATAAAATTAAAACACATTTTTGAAGATCAGTACAAAAACAGTTGGAACTTGCATAAGAGCAATACAAGCTACAGGAAAGCTAAGTAATTTTTTTCACTATGTACCAAAGAAGTTTTTAAAAAATTTGCATTGCTTTGTGGCCACAGTTTCTCGACTATTCCCTACCAGAAGCAAGGCCTTAACCAGCACACGTGTACCTGTCAATCTAATCATTGAGTTACCTCTTTGGGCATATTTAGAGCTCAATAGTTACAACTTAATTAGTATTTTTTACTTTTCCTCTTTAGGACAAACTAGCTTAACAGTTAAGTGTCTTGTATAAGTTGCTGGCTATTTAATAAGTGTTTTTTTCAATTGAAGGTTCATGCTTTATAGTACTGTCTGTTTATTTGCAGTTGCCAATGTGAAGTATTGGAAGAGTAGCATCTGAAACTTTCTGGGACAGAGGGGGCTGTTTTATTATCTCATTCTTCGGTAAGCTCATCATATTATTTTGATAGGACGAGCTACTTGTTGATGGTGGGTTCTGCAGTTATCATTGATTAATCTCTTAAAGCATTTTCTAAGATGTTAGACAAAAATTATATTTTACTAAGTTGGAGTTTTCAACCTTTAATTATAAAAACAGATGACTTCTTAGTTGTACACAGTCTTCAAACATGAGTCCTTGTCTATCCTGCTGCTATTCTTGAGTGATGTGTAAATGTCCATATCATTTGCAACTTCCCCATAAATACTTTTGAAAGCTATTTGGTTACTTCTACACACGGTGCCATGAAAGGGGAAACCTTGCTGTCAGGGATTGAAATGTGGGAAATGAAGTGTTTATCGTTATCTCAGAATAATTTCCTTCCACCTGTGAAAGAGGAAGAAGTGTTTTCACTTCGAAAAAAAGCATCTTTTGCTAAAGCTGGGTCACATTCTTGAATATTTCATGCTCAAATTTTCTAATGCTTCTTTGTTGAAACCTTTGGATTCCCATCTAAAACTTTTACAGGGAAGCTGTGACACATAATGTAAATAGCTATGTTCTGAGATGGAGGGTCTCGGGGGTCAACTCAATTTAATTTTGATACAAAAATAAATGGAATTCAGGATCACAGGGAAGGCAGGGGAAGAAAATGAAATGCTTGGGTACTTCCTTCCCTCCAGTTTCTCATTTTCCTTGCTATTAGTCCAACTACATTTAAATATATGTGAATTTAAATGATCCTTTATTTATATAATCTTTTTTGTTTAGAATCACTGGCAAATAGATAGTTATTGCTAGTCTTAATTATGTACATAATTTAGACCAGAAGGCACATCTGAAATAAAAGGTAATCAAGATGTTCCCATACTGGCTGAACAAGAGTCTGAGGTTGCAACCTTTACTAATCATTTATCCTTTCAAGCAGAACATGAGGATGGAGAATTAACAAGACTAACCTCTTTTTTGGTGTAATTTAATATACATGAAACTACAGCTGAAAGGGCAGCACAGTAAATTGATAACAACCTTTTTTGGCCTCAGTTCTGACAAAAAAAAAAGTTATTTCAAACAACAAAACCAAGTTTCACTATACTACATATAAGCTATCTACTCTTTATATGTGATCTTATAAGTAGGATCCTGAATTTGAGGGTGCTTTTTATGAAGATGTTTTCTTGGTCAGTTGTTATCTAAGCTGTATTTGAACACTGCGATTTTGTTTCTGGGAAATTATTTGTACTGTCATGGAAGAGCTGATTATTTGCCAGCTGCAGTTAAACAAAATGAGAATTCTGAGTCCATTCTTCCACTCATTAAAAAAGATGGTAGAGGTCAACTTGAGAATAGATTTCTTCAGCTGGTTTGTGCTAGTCTTGCTTTGTATCAGCTGTCATTGAGTAGCATGGTGTGTTAATTGTCATGGGGTGGCTTCTTGGGGTTCATGATTTGAAGAACATCTTCGTTCTCACTGCTAAGGCTGGGTTCGTAGAGCGAGGCTCAGAAATCCCTGTTCTAGGTGTCACACAAGCACCATTGTCCTTTTTCTACTCACATCACTAACCTGGAAGAGCTTGCTAGAAGTGTGGTTGGAAATGGGTTAGAAAGCTTTGGTATGGAAAGAAATAGGGATTGAAAGTGTGGTTTTGCAGTATGGGCTGCTACTGAGCACAGTGCGTGGTCCCAGTGGTGCATTTCCTTTCCCTTCTGCTCAATCCAGTGATTGTGAAGGGAGTGGGATCAGCTTGTTCACATGATGGGAAATTAATTATTTCTTCCAATATATTTGTTGTCCAGCAGATCAATGAACTTCATTCCAACAATTCAATGTCTCTTGCTGGTTTTGCTGGCAATTTTTAGAAATACTTTTGTGGCAGTTAAGTTGATGAAGCATTTCACTAATACCTAGAAGCAGCGTGAGCGTGCAAACTATTTGTTTTAGAACCAGTCTTACAAGTTTTTGTACCATTTATCTTGAGATGACAATTTATATCTGATAATCCTGATTGAAACCACCATATTTTTTCATACAGCTTTCCCAAAATTCACCTTAAAAAGAAAAACTCTCACATTCATGTAAAGAGCCACAGTGGTATAATAGAAGCTGTTTTGCAGCTGAATGCAGCAGTTAGAATAAGAAACATGTTCTGCAATAATTTGGATGGTCTCCGCTGATGGTTTATGCTGGATTTTAGGAGCACAGCTGTAAAATTTTAAATGAGTTTTCTTCTCTAAACTAATAATGTTCTTATTAATGTGTAGATGGTTATATAGTAAACTTTAAATATATCTGATCAATCTACAGCGTAAAAGAACAATTTTGTTACAGCACAGTGTCTAATACATTAAAACTTTTAGTCGGTGATACTAAGCATGCTTTATATTTGTAATAAAGCTCATCTTTTTAATTAGGTCAGTGTTTCTCTGGTAATTGTGCTCGAAGTTGAAGGAATTTTCTGAAATAGCAAAGTATTTTTTTATATTTAGAAGGCTTTACTCGTAATGTTTAAAGCTTTGTTCAAGTTGTATGTAACTTGTCTAGATGAATTGATCTGGAAACGTTTGGTGTTAACGACTTTAACGGTGGCTGCTCTTCTGGACGAGCAGCATCGGTGCTGGTGAAGAGGCAGTGGATTGTAGAAGGCAGTAGTGCTAACAGCAGCCTACAGAACCGATAACAAAAGTATTCCTATAAATATGCCCGAACTCTCCACCACTCTTCTGGCTAGCTTGTAGACCCGACAACTGAATGTGTAAGCTTACTATTATTATTATAAGGGTGGTGAAGGTGATTTGTGTAAACCTTATAGCTTTTAAACCCATCTTCTCTTGAATCATTAGTCTTCGTTATATCAGGATATCCTGCAAAATTAATCCAGCCTGTGCCTTTCTTGATGGATGAGCTGTAAGATAAAGGTTGATTGGACAAATAAGCCTGTTGCTTAGCCAGCCATCATTTTAAATTTGATTGAGCAGGAGGTTCATTTTTTTAAATTTTGTAGATCAAGGAGAACGGCGCATCACGTAATCTGAAAAACATACAGTGAGAAGCACAAGTTAGAAGCTGAAACCAGATGCATTTGAGAAGTGCTGAACCCCTCCTTTCTTGGTATCTTCAACTCAAGAGTAGACATGGGTTTGGAAGATAAGCGTAACCAAACACAACATACGTAAAGTACTGAGTCACGCTGGAATCAAGCACGAGGTCTTGTTTTGAATATGAGGGCTGGAATTTTATAGCCTCTGATATACTAGGGATCAAACCTGGTGAATTTATGGCCTTTTTAGCCTTAATCATTGCGATTATTTGAATATTCTCATCAGTTACAGCACAGGTTACATATGAACAATCTTTCTTCTTTTTGTAATTCTGCCTTTTTTTGAACCTATATTAACAGCAATACTACTTTCATCTTGCTGTTGGTAAAGAGCATTTATAGATTTCCTTGGTTTCTGATAACTTAAAAGCATGTTCTTGCAAGCATGGAAGTTTCAGCGCTTTTTTATTTTTCCTTACCAATTTCCACAGCTGATAGATTCAGACTTCTATCAAGTCTTTTAGATGTATTTTTTGCATTAATTTTTAGTGAATTAGTGTCAGTTCCAGCTCGATTCTGCTCATAACTTCTTCCTTTTATATATATATGCGTGTGTATATATATACACATGTCCTTCTGCAAGCTGTGGGATTTTGAACCTACTTGCAAGTGTTTATTATGCTGTTTGGCCCCTACTCGGGGGGCATAAAGGCATTTTGCTTATTTGGGATATTCCTATTTAACAGAGGTTTTGGGGACAAGTGCTATGCTTCTCATTGATCATTTTTAGACAGTGGAATGTTTTAGTTTCAGAATATGTGCATCTGCTGCTCCTTTTCCCTCTGTAAATATCCTGTACAATATACAGGATGTAGTTAGCACTTTCTGCAGTGGTCGCATGCTTGTGAGCTGATGGATTCAAAGTGGTTTTCTCTGTCAAGTACAACACTGCTAATTTGAAATATAAGTGAGGTGATGTAGGAACTGAGAACTGACTGAACTTGACTGATACATTTTTCATTTGTCTTATATTCTGTAGACTGCAAAATCCATAAAATACTTGAATGAATCATTTCTTATTTTTAAAAAAGGGGAAGAACCTACCTGAATTTAAAAAGTTGGATATAAGAGAAATCTTGAAATCAAATTGTAACTCCCGTATTCACTTCCATCATTAAGTTCCTAATAGGGTCAACTGCATAATCTTCAAGACTGTATGCTCTTTGATATTTGCAGAAAATTTGTTAATTTTAAGACTGGGGCATTGTTAGATAGTGGAGAGAGCAATTCACTAGTGTATGGTGATCTGGAGCTCTTGGAAAGGTCGGTGCAAGAAAATGGATATTTTGATACTTTCATGGATGTAGAAAATGAGTCATAACTATAAGTGAGGCATTTTATCGATGTACGAATTCTAATTCATATGCCATAGTTGGAACAAGATTACTTCAGGAGGGCCTGTCAACCTGTGTTAACGTAAGAGATCAGACTAAACGATCACAACGATCCTTTGGGTTTATAACCTATGTATTTGTGAATCGCCACCTGCAAGTGACTTGGGAGAAAACTCAGGGTGACTGAGAAAGATGAACATGTTTTAATTTAAATTATATAAACAGTGATCTAATTGCTGCATTCAAACGGGTATTCTCCCAGCAGTATATTCAAAGATGATTTTTCAGAATGAACAGGAGCCAGACACATTTTGAAACTATTTTGTCTCCCAGGAGAGTTAGTTTATATGGATTTCATCTCTTCATAATTACTGTTTGCTTGCAGTTTGCTAACAGCTGAATTCTTAGTCTTTAAAAGTTAATTTGTATTTATTTGTCAAAAGAAAATGAATTTAACTTCATCATTATACTCTTCTGGTTTTCTAGATTTTAATAAGAAGTGAAGAAGAGCCTCAAAGTATTGTGAGTAAAGACGAGGATTTCTCCTCCAGTCCAGGGCTTGTCATGGTAAGCAAAAGGGGTTTGTAGGGTCTGTTACAGAGCAGAATAGGCCAAAAATCTGAAAAACGTGAGAGAACTAAGGTTTACTTGTGGGGTTGTAGAATTTCAAGTGTAGTATGAGGCTAGGCTAATGCTTTTTTCCTAATACTATTACAAGTCTTTCTGGTTTTATGACTTTATTATATAATCAGGCTGCAGGAAGGAAACCTGTTTCTAGTATCATATTTAGTTGTTTGAGTGGTGGTCTTCTGAAAGTTTAGTAACTTTAAGTTCCTGATACCTGAATTCTCTAAACACTTCATCCTATTCGAGCTTTTCGTTGGTCACTGATAGCTTGCTATGTGGGGAAGAAGGCAGCAAGGGCTGGTGCTAAATTTACTGCTTTGTTTCTCAGGATGAAGAGACTCAGCACAGCCTTGAATGCATCCAGGCAAATCAGATTTTTCCCAGGAAGCAGCTGATCCGAGAGGATGAGAACCTTCAGGTAATCACCATGCTGCTCCTTGCCAGTTCAGATCACAGTGTCTCTGGTTGACCTATGTATTCTCTGGCCTCTCCCATTGAATTTTCATTCACAGTTGAGCACAGAAATAGGAGAAACACATTTTCTTTTTAAATACTCATGTATGGTTGGTAGGACAGAACTCGTGCATTATACTACAAGAGATTCCTCGGAGTGTCTGAAATATAGGCGTTACTTGTGTAGTAATTTCAAGTGTTAAGTTTTATTCCATAGTTTAGAAGTCTTTGGTGTTTTAAAAAAAACCAACTCACTAAGCTAGTTAAATATTACTGTTACTACTTGTTCCTGACAAGCCAAAAGTCTCAGGTTGCACAAAATGGATATTTTTTGGTTTTGTAATTTTCCAAAGTTTCTTTTGAAATGAACTTAGTTCATATGATTTATCCATGCAGTCTTATATCAACTGATGAGGTAGTTTGTTCCATTTTAATAGAAAATATTTTTCATTGATTTAAGCTAAGTTGGTGTCAAACCATGTTATTTTGAAGTTGAGTGTTTACACTTTTCACCCAGCTCAGCTAAATTGGGCTTAAGTAACATTTTTAATTAAACAGTTGCAATTTTTATGTGCAATGTAATACAACTGCAGGTTTCCTAACTTTATAAAACAGCAAAGTGTCATACATGTTCATATTTGCAGTGAGAAATATGAAGCAAAAAGTGCAGTGAGAAATATGAAGCAAAAAGTCTTTTTTGCCCAATTGACTCCAGCTGTGTAGCATTTAGGTATCCAGTCTAAACTGGTTACCTGAGCCTGCTTAGTGAAAATTTGGAACCCATAGCATAGAAGATTAATAATCTTATACATTTTGCCTACTTTAGGATGAATTTAATAACATTATGGAAATGCCCCTCTCCATTAAGTAAGGAGCAAGAGCATAAATCAAGGGGTTGGTCAGACTGCTTGCCAAAATGTGAGGCTATTTTGCTCAGATTTTTCATAAAAATTCATTGTTTTCCCTGACCAAGCACTTACTACTCAGGAAAATTAAGACAAAATGAGGAATCATTTTTAAAAAAGGCTACAATTAACCTCTGAACCAACCTAACCCAAGACTTTCCTTCTTAGCAGTAATGGCTATGCTGAATTCTCAGCAGTGTTTCATTTTGATTTTATGATGATGTGTGCTTGAGTGTGTGCTTCCAGCAGTTACGTATTTTTGGTAAATGGTTTCTGAAAGATTTTTCTTCCCATTCTGAAGGTCCCGTTCATTGAACTTCATGGTGAGAGTACGGAGTATGTAGGACGAGCAGAGGATGCCATCATTGCACTTTCTAATTACAGGCTTCACATCAAATTCAAGGAGTCAGTTGTGAATGTAAGTGTTATTCGTGCTACTGTGGTAATACAAGTATTCTGAACTCAATCCAAATAAGAGAATTTAGGATAAAAGTACGGTGATCCTGCCTTTTAAGGTTAGTGGTAATGAAAAATATCTTTATGATGTTCAAATCATCTTTTTCAGGGAGAACAGGTAGCATATTTAGGCATCAAAAGATGACTTGGCACCTCTGAAAATCAGACTTACTAAGGAATCTTCACATCACTCAACTTTATGTTCTCTTTGCAGCTGACTGTGTCAGCCATTTGTTCTCTGTAAGCTCTGTGTATAGTCGATAGAGAAATACAAGGTCTTCCAAAGGGCTCTTTGGAGCACCCAAGCTAGATTTGTGCCTTGCTTGGAGCTTCGAAAGGTAAAGTATGTCTGGCTATTAAAGTTACATGCCTGAAGCTGGATAGTGTCAGTACAGTAAGGAGTACAGTACACATAGGACATCTGTGACTTGGACCTCATCTTCAGATGCCTACATGTTTCTTTAAAGAGCTTTACTCTAAGTATCCATTCTTAGTGTTACATATCCAGCTACTCATGATCATAGACATAAATGGGTGTTGTATAGTCTCTTGCAGTAGTATAATGCTGATGTATACTAGTCTTACTAGTTGTAATACCATTTGTGAACTGTATAGAATTTGATAGGACACTACACATGACACAGAAATATTTGTGGATATTTGTAATAAAACCAGTAAAACAAAATCCAAAGAATCAAAGCATTATTTTTTCTTCCTGATAATGTTTTTTTACCAATCTCCTTATTTCAAGACAGGTCCTGACCCTGACTAGTTGTTCACAATTGTCCCATGTCGGTCACAAACCCTGAACTATGCAGTGGTGGGTTAAGTGTAAACCACTAAAACTGCATGTAAGCAAGGGAAACAAAATACAAGAATTGAAGTGTCCAGCACTTATGTGACTGAGACACGTGTGACACAGTGGTCTGGAACATCAGCGAGATCTCCTGTGCACCTAACTGATTTAATTTTTGATGCCATGTCAATCTTAAATTGTTTTTTATTGTTTTGTGTCAGGACCAAATTATTACCTGTAAAAATGTTGTTTGCTATCTGAAACTCAATCTTTACTGGTTTATGTTGTCTCTAACAATATAGCTGTTATCTACAGACTTTGAAATGTGCCTGTGTCATAGTTATCATTAATCACTTTAAGTGCTGTTTTAGTTCATGAATTATCAGTGCAGTAGGCTGAATAGGCATGTCTGCGAGGCTGGTGAACATCTGTGTGCCAGCATTTAAGTGCTAAAATTCATGGTGATGTGGGGTTTTTCAGCAAATAAAGGTATTATTTCTGAATGTGGCAATTACTCAAAACAATGGTAAAAAACTTATGACAGAAAATGTAGGTGGAAATTTAAGGGCTATCATCTTCCACTGCTGACCATACAAAGGAGATGATACAAGTATGTGCATATGCATAACTTTACTTTTCACTCTTTTCCCATCTCATTCTGTAGTCAATCCTGATCTATACCTTGAGACTTACATGTTAAGGTCTAAGTGCCAGTGTGCATTGGAATGGTAGCCAAGGGTCAGCTAGGTGCTGGGATGCCTCGGGTGCAGTCCAGCCAGATGCATCTCTATATGCCGCTGGCAGTAGAGAGAGGATATGATACAATGTGTTTTATAGGATTCCTTTGCTGCTTTGTGATAAAATGTGAATTCTAGGGCTGAATTCTGCCAAGGGGCCTGCTACAATAAATCTGTATTGTATTACTTACTGTTAGATTACTTTTTTAATTCAGAGTGTGAATGTTGTATGAAATTGGCAACTAGAATTGACAAAGCAAATGACTGAATATTTAAAAACAAGGAGCTGAGGCATGAGAAACAAGCATAGCCCTAGAAATCAAGAGTTTGCCCAGAGGAATGCCAGGAAATTACAGAGCTTCTTTATCGGAGAAGCCACTAATGTGTGTACTGCACTTCCTGTCATATCTGTCTGTAGGACAAATGGGGGTATTAATTTTTAAGCATTTTCAATTTAGTGTTTTTGAGCAGTAACAAGAATTATGTTTTCTTAAAAAATATTCTTTCTTTGTGTTCAGGAAAGAGTCTGTAAAAGTTTGTCAATATTACCATGTTAATTTTGCTTCCCTCACTTTCATATCCAGTATTCTGCCCTCTCACTCTGGTGTCTCCAAGGTGTTAGTCCTGCTTCTTATGTCATCATTAACCAGAAAGATTCAATTAGAGAGTGTATGAGGTAGAGCAGAATATAGATTATTCTTCTGTAACCATATATGACCATCACTAATATTGTAATATGAACTCTACTGGAATCCAAGGCAGACAAGATTTGGAATATCTTTAAGGATAAAACATACTTGCAATAATTAGGAACCATATTTAAATTGTTAAATTTTGGAGTAATAATCACTTTGGTTATTGTTGATCAAAATTATTGATCAGATGGTGATTTTCTAAATTAAATTTTCACTGAGTAATTTTTGATTGAGTTTGTCTTGATTCTTTCCTACTGGTTTTATATCGCTTAGAGCTGTTAGGAAGACACCTGTAAGATGACCTTTTTAAAAATGTATAAATGTTTACTAAGGTTAGGAGCTTTTTCTGTTTGAATGATTTTCCCAAAAATCACTCTCCTGACTAAGTCCAGCCACACTAAGGACCTTGTCACCTCAGGAGAGAGAAGTACTTCTGTGTTAGAGGATTCATCTCCTCTTGAAGTAGGTGGGATGTTCTCAGGGTAGAAACAGTCCTCCAGAGAAAGCAGCATGCACGTCAGTTATTTGCCCCTTAAAGGCAACTGCACGAAGGAAATAGAATCCAGTTAAAAATGGATTCCTGGTCTTTGCTTTTTTTAACCTCACTGTTCTCTTTTTTGTTTACAATTCAATAGACTGGCTGTCAAAGTGATGCTTGTGAAACCTCAGTAAGTAGCACAGTGCTGCTAAGATCACTTGCTGCACCTCTGCTTGAAAATAAATACATTGAAAAGTTGATAATGCTCACATTGCAAGACTGCAGAAAACGGCTGCATGTGTAAATCTCTTCCATGGATAATTTCCTAGATCACAGCAGTAATAGGAACATGGTGTTTTAAATGCAAAACCAAAAGATCCAGTAGACCATGCATAAATTGGAGGGATTATGACATTCAAAAGTGTTGACTTACATTTATCCGTGGGATAAAAACACAGACTCAACAGTGATCTCTCAGTGCACATGGGAAGTTTGGTTCCCAGGCTGATCTCTATTGATTGGCTTTCTTTAAGAAAACTTCAAACTCTGCAGCTGGTGGGTGTTTCTGTCTAATCTTTCTTTCTCCCTATAAGCTAATTGCATTTATAGAAGAACTAAAATTTTAGTGTAGTTCGTGAAACCATGGATTTGTATGTAGCCTCTTTGAAATAGTAGATTTTGGACACAGTAAAAAAAAAAAATCCTGCTGGCAAGATGAGGGAGACTTTCAGTCTTGCTGGTTAAGTGAGTTTTAATATGAGCTTTCCCTTACTTGGCCTTTAATGGAAAAATGTTTGGTTTGGTATCTTCCTTGCATATGAGTAATAAGTTGTAATTAAAAGCAAAATTTGCTTCAGGTACTCCTTGTAGGTTATATGACCAAGATCACATCTGGGGGCATTCAACTCCCTCCACCTAGGAGTGTCCTTGCAGACCTTCTAAGCTGACCTTGCATCCTCAGTTCCTTCATATGTCACACTTTACCATGCTTCAGGATGTACAGCACGTAGTCTTGGCCTCATGCTCTTTAAAGTAACCAGTCTGTAATGTAACCCTGACATTATTTCAGACTCTGAACTGGGAAAACAAGAAGTACTAATTCCAGCTCATGGCCCCTGGGTGCCACCTGGTATCCTGGAGAATCACAGAATCCCAGACTGGTTGGGGTTGGAAGGGACCTCTGGAGACCATCTAGCCCAACCCCCTGCTAGAGCAGGATCACCCAGAGCAGGTGGCACAGGATGGTGTCCAGGCGGGTTTGGAATCTCTCCAGAGAAGGAGACTCCACAACCTCTCTGGGCAGCCTGTCCCAGGGCTCCGTCACCCGCAGAGGGAAGAAGTTTTTCCTCGTGTTGAGATGGAACTTCCTGTGTTCCAGTTTGTGCCCGTTGCCCCTTGTCCTGTCACTGGGCACCACTGAGCAGAGTCTGGCCCCATCCTCTAGACACCCACCCTTTAGATATTGATAAGCCTTGATCAGATCCCCTCTCAGTCTTTTCTCTCCAGACTAACCAGCCCCAGCTCTCTCAGCCTTTCCTCATCTGAGAGATGCTTCAGTCCCCTCATCATCCTCACAGCCCTCTGCTGGACTCTCTCCAGTAGTTCCCCATCTGTCTTGAACTGGGGAGCCCAGAACTGACACAGAACTCCAGATGTGGCCTCACCAGGGCAGAGTAGAGGGGGAAGAGCATTGACCTGCTGGCCATGCTCTTCATGCACCCCAGGACACCATTGGCCTTGGCGGTGAGGGCACACTGTTGGTCATGGAGAGCTTGTTGTCCACCAGGACTCCCAGCTCCTTCTTAGCAGAGCTGCTTCCCAGCAGGTCAACCCCAGCTTGTACTGGTGCCTGGGGTTATTCCTCCCCAGGTGCAGGACCCTACATTTGCCCTTGTTGAATTTCATTTGGTTCCTCTTTGTCCAATTCTCTAGTCTGTCCAGATCCTGAGAGACTCAGATATACCAATTGGTATACAGGGTATATAGCATAGTCACTGGTGAAGGGGCTGGCTTACAGCCTGGTCATCACCCACTTCTTGTTGTCAACGACTGAGCCACAGGGTGGATTGTTTCAGCAGTATAAATGTAACTTGTGCCTTTTCTACCTACAGAGGTATTTTTCTCTAAATCTAATCCTGTACTACTGTTAGGTAACAGGCAGTTCCAGTAATTAAAATAAATTAAAAAAAAATTTCCCAAAGAAAAAAGTTTGAGTTGTAGAATGTTGCTGTTGATTAAAATGAGATAATTTTAAAGAG